AAACTGGGAAATGTCAGCTCTATGTGTTCTGCAATATGCTCCAATTATTCAATCCAATCAAAGCCTGTCTGTAGAGAAAAAAATGCAGACTGGAAAGAAGCAGACTCTGTCCCTTTTCGAGGCCCAGCTGCATGTCTGCCCTGGACTCTGTGAAATAACTGTGAGAGAAATTACCCTTTTCTGCGTAAGCCGACCTAGTGGATTTTAGTCACTTGCAGTGAAAATAATTTGACGCAAGAGGAAGTATGTGGCTCTTAGTGGTTAAGTGAGAAAGCAACGTTAAGATAAGCAAAAAGGCTGAGTGGTTTAGAGAAACAGGACAAACGGTGGGATATTGAAGAGGTACATCGTTTAGGAAGTTAGGGTCCAAACAGGGAGTGAGCATCTTTTTATGCTACACTTGTCATGTAGTTAGTGGCAGATTTTCTAAGCAGGCAAAACTGTTAGAAAATGTGATTAGGTTCTGGACAATAGCAGATTTGTCACCTGCGTTCACTGGAATCTCCCCTGGGTTAAGAGGGAGTTAGAATGGGTAAGTTGTTTACTATAGCCAATATGGTAGCCAATAGCAGCATAAATAGAGGCAGAATTTGAATTATAATTGGAAAAGGCATTTAGTAAAGTGAAATGGGAGTGATGTGCGTTATAAAAAAAAGATAGATGTGAGACTTAAACATGTAAGTGGAAAGACATGGGAACTTTTATTCCAGTTAGTTACTGTAAACAACTCAGGACTAATGGGATGGATGACAGCAGGTTGTAAAGCATGGAGACTACCGTCAGACTGTCTAGGTTTAAATCCCGGATCTGCTACTTGTTAGATTTGGAACCATGGGTTAGTTATTTTATGCTTTGTAAATTTCTAAAAGAAGAATAGCTGACAACCTGCTATCTCTTGCTATGTAATATAACTAACCCAAAACTTGTTGCCCTAAAACAAAGAGCATTTATTCTTGTTCACAGTTAACTGGTTTCTTTGGATATTCTTTATAGTATCAACTCAGTGATTCTTCTGGTCTCAACTGGGCTTATCCGTGGGTCTACAGTCTGTGTCCAGCATCCATGCTCTTAAACTACTATGCCATGTGGCTTCACAAGCATAAACTCTATCACCTGCTGCTTTTTGCTTGGTTCTCTTACATATCTCTTACACATCCAGGTTAACTGAATGGAAGCTAATTTAGGATGGTTTGACTGAAACAGATCTCCTTTATGTGGTCTCTCAATGACGAGGTTAGCTCAGGCTTATGGTAGGAGCCATGTGAGAGAGAGACTGCAGAAATCTGCAAGGCCCTTGTGGAGGACTGAGCTCAGAACTGGCACGACATCTCTTCCACTGCATTCTATTGGCCAAAGCAAATCTCAAGATCAACTCAAATTCAGAGTTTAGGAAAACAGACCTCACTGCTTGACAGAAGAACCTACAATGTTATACTAAAAGATCAGTTATAGGACTATCTGGGTGAATTTGCATTCAATTTATCATAATGCGGATAATAATAGTACCTAATACCTAGTGTTATTTTGAAGATTAAATGTGTTAATGTATGTAAAGCCCTTAAAATAGTTTCTGACAGCTGAGCAGAGTTATATATATGTGTTTTTGTTTTAATCCTGATATCTTAACAGACCCAGACAGGACAACAATTTGTCACCTTCTTAGTATGGGGAACAATGATTTTTTAAGTCATATCATGATTTTTTAAGTCATATCTTAAAATGTGAGCCAAAGAGTGTACCTGTTATTAAGATGGGTCATTGCTTTCCGGTATTCAAAACTGTAGGAGAGGCAAGAGTTCTAACCCCTAGTTTTATTTTTATCAGGGTGTTGCTATGACTTCTGGCAAGATACCTGATATGCCCAGGCTTCTGCTTCCTCAGTGTAAAGCAAAGTTTGGACTGCATGATCTTAAGTGTCTCCTAACTGCTAACTGCTAATGAATCCTGAGAAGAATATTCTCCCCAATTTTATTCCAACAGCTAGCTAATGGGAAAGGGTGAGTCCTTTTATTGCATTGACGGCTTTTAACAAAAAAGAATGCCAGATGGAACTGGGCTGCTGAAAATAAGCAGGAACTTAAAGCGAATTGTCAAAAACAAATTGACCTAAAACAATTTTCTCAAAGTCAAATTGTTGGAAAGAATAAATTGTTCAAAAAAAAATCATGTAATATAGATTTTTTTATTTTAGTAATTTTGATGTGCTTGAAGAAATTTTGTTAGCTTTCATGAGTAATTAAGCCTTTTTGTCATTTTTTCCCCCACAATTTTCAGGGGGAACAAAGGTTCTTTTTCTTTCTCGTTTCTAATTCATATAGTCAATTATGTCTGTTCTGCTCATTTGTCTTAAAGTTAATTATTCTAAAAATCAATGCTTCCAACTGCCAGTTGACATTATTTTATAATTTTGAAATTTGTTATAATTTTTAGATCTTTTATCCATATTTTTATAACAATTATACTTCTTACTATGTAATTTCACTTTTTAAACTGTTTAGATTTATTTTCAGCCAGTGATGTTAACTTCATTTACTTAATCCCTATTTTATGTTCCATTTTGGTTATACATTTCTTATGTATTTCAGCAAATTTTACAGAGCGGCAGTTTTACCACTCAAGGTTGCTGTCCGATTGAAGCTGTAATGAAAAACATGTAAAGTCTCAGTGTGAGCGTCTCAGACAGCTATAAGCTTAGGCCAAAATTTGTTGACCTAACAATGAATAAAATGTTTCATGGGTAAAACTCTGGGTAGCAGTTGGCTCTGGACCCCTGGTAACTTCACTGAAGAAGCTAGGAAAAGAAATATATGCCAGCTTTTCTGATCCACTTAATCACTACATCAGTTTGATAGTTGAAAGCCTTTATGATTGAAATGAAAAATGCAGAATGTTCTAAGTCAGTGTAGTGATTAACACAACTTTAACGATGTCCAGTAACTTTATTCTTCAGAATTATCTTTTGCCACATCATGTCTTTAATTCTGCAGATTTCTTGGAATATAGAATTGTTACAAAAGAACAAATGACTAATTAAAACAAATTTAGACTAGGTTGGTTTGAGCAATTTGGTACAAATTCATAAAAGTATTGCCAAATCAGAAAAGCAAACATAATTGGATGAAAATGCATCATAAATTGAAAACAGAAGTTTAAAAAACAGATTTAGACTAGGTTGGTTTAAGCAATTTGGTACAAAATCATAAAAGTATTGCTAAATCAGAAAAGCAAACATAATTGGATGAAAATGCATCATAAATTGAAAACAGAAGTTTAAAAAACTAGAAAAAAATCTTCCAAATCCTGAAAAAAGAAAAAAAGCCAATACAACTCTAAACACCTTCCACATTATTTCCATATTAATAATACATAAATAACCAATTACAGAAGAATAGTCATATTGTATTATTTTTTACTAGTTTGGTTTTAGGCAAATTGTTTTTGACCAAATTGGCAGCTAACCAATAGAAGCAGTGATTTGAGCCAATACCCTTTAAATGTGCTAGGGTGATTCATGGTGCTATTTTAAACAGACTGAATTTGATCTGGGTTTATTGACACAATTTATCTCAAACTCTTCAACTTCTTGCTTTTTGATTCTAGAATTTCTTTTCAGTTCTGACCTCCCACATGTGTCTGATGTCGGAATTCTGATTGCTGGCCTCTGCTTTAATTTACATCTAGTAAGAACTAGATCAGGTTCTTAGCTTTCTGCCTTCATCATTAGTTTTGTTCATTAGCTCCTTTTTCTTTCTTTGGAACCAAAATGATCCTGGCTGCTCACCAAAGCTCTCCCCTTTGTTACTTCTAATAGTCACCTGCTATGATGAGGCTGATATCTCAGGGATTCCCACAGTTCTCTCTGGCTCCTGTAATCAAGCCAGGGACTCAGGGGCTCCAAGATCTGTCTTCTAGCTTCTTATGGGGCAGACATTCTTATTTCTTCCCTCAGATCCCTAAGGGTGAACCAGTTGGAAGCCCTGCTGGTATTATAACCACCCTTTCTGATCTTACCTTATTGGACCAGGAGTAAACATACCTTAACAAACTGGGTCAGATTTTCTTTACCTAGTGTTTGGATGACTGTTGTTGATATGGTTTGGCTGTGTCCCCACTCAAATATCATCTTGAATTTCCACGTGTTGTGGGAGGGACCCAGTGGGAGGTAACTGAGTCATGGGGGAAGGTCTTTCCTATGGTGTTCTCATGATAGTGAATAATTCTCAAGAGATCTGATGTTTTTAAAAACAGGAGTTTCCCTCCACAAGCTCTCTTCTCTTGTTTGCCACCATGTGAGACATGCCTGAAATCTTGTCCTTCTCCCATGATAGTGAGGCTTTTCTGGCCATATGGAACTATAAGTCCAATAAACCTCTTTCTTTTGTAAATTGCCCAATCTCAGGTATGTCTTTATCAGCAGTGTGAAAATGGACTAGTACAGTTGTCATCTTTGTAAGTGACTAGAATAGCAAGTATAAAGTCAGATGCTGACTTTATAAAATGGGAAGGCATTTTGCATCATGTCAATCAGTAAGTCAGAGAAAGCCAGTTGTTGCTTGTAACCTCGGAAAGATATTTTATTCTTTGTTAAGCAATATTCCTTCATGAATAATCAGTGTTGAACGGTTTGACATTTATTGTTAGCCAACAGAGGCCAATTCTCACTGAATTGTAAACAATGTGTATCCACAGCTTAGTGACATTTTCCTATTTAATATATTCATATGCACAGTAACAAGTTAAATATCTACAATTGTTTATGTACTTTTAAAAAACTGTGATGAGGGCCGAAGGTCTACCTATTTAGTACTATGCTGACTAATGGGATGACAGGTTCAATCATATCTCAAACCTCAGCATCAGCAAACCTGTATATGTTTGTAGCAAACCTGTATATGTTTGTAGCAAACCTGTGTATGTTTCCCCTTGATTCTAAAATAACTTGAAAAAGAAAAAAAAGCAGTAGAATAACAGAATTTACTATCTTAACCATTTTTAAGCATATAGTTCAGTAGTGTTAAATATATTCACAATGTTATGCAACCAATCTCCAAAACTGTTTTTATTTTGCAAAACTGAAACCCTATAGCCATTACACAACAGCTTCCTAGTCTCTTCTTCCCCTCCCCCCAGAAACTACCATTCTACTTTCTGTCTTTATGAATGTGACTACTGTAACTACCTGATATAAGTGGAATCATATGTTATGTAGTATTTGTCTATTGTGATTTTCTTATTGCTTTTAACGTAATATCTTCAAAGTCCATTCATGTTGTAGCATGTGTCAGAATGTCCTTCATTGTTAAGGCAGAGTAATATTCCATTGTATGTATGTCCCACATTTTGTTTATCCATCCATTTGTCAATTGATATTGGATTGCTTCATTTCTTGGCTATTATGATTAATGCTGTAATGAACATGGGTATACAGATAGAAGGCAAATGTTTAAATGGAAAGAAGATAAAAGGATACATAAAACTAGAGACAATAAACAAAGAGATTCCCCATCCCTTTCCTACTCCTAGTTATCACTGCCTATTGAGATCTACTTGCATTTCTGTTCTTGACTTAAATGAGTCACTTCTGCATTTATATAAAATAAATTCTCCTTTTTTTGCCTCAAGTAGCTCAGACTAGTTTCTCTACTTGCAGCCAGCATCTTAACTAATATATGGTTAGGAGAAAATCTCTGCAAATAAAGACAAGTTTAAGTCATGACAAATATTTCTTTTATTCTGTAAATAAGAAATAAGATCACATTGCACTATTGACAAAGAAATTGCAAACTGCAAGAACCACCATAAGCTGGGATTTTTGCAACCTCCCAGACCTTTAATAAGAAGCTGAGAAAAGTCGGAAAAATTCCTCCATGAAACCCAAGAAGGAAGGTTAATGATATTTTAGATTTGGTATTCTTTTTGTTCTGCTTTTGCTTCAATTTTTTACTGTTTCCCTGTAAAACCAAAACTGTCCAACAGGGATTGAATTTTCTGTGGACAGTTTGTCTTTCATAAGCTTCACAGACAAAATTAACCATCAAGGGAAAAATAAGATGACATTACTATTTTTGCAAGTTCAAAATTGTTCTCACAAGTATCTATTGTATGTCTCATTTTTTTTCTTAATCTCTTGCCTTCATCTTCTTTGAAATTACTGCTATAAAAGTTAAGATAATATATATTACTAGTATCCCAGCATCCAAACAGAAGAGCTTCTCTCATTCCACATTACACAGAAGCAGTTGAAACAAAAACAAACAAATGACACCAGCCTAGGCAACAGAGCAAGACTCCATCTCAAAAAAAAAAAAAAAAAAAAAAAAAAAAAAAAAAAAAAAAAAAAAAGAAATTTTAAAAAAAAAAAAAAAAAAAAAAAAAAAAAAAAGATAGTAAACCTGTCTTCAAAAAAATAATTTCTATATTTATTTGACCCAATCTTCTATCCATTTTCTCCAAAGTAATTTCAGTATTCAGACCTTGACTCCCAACTCCCACAAAATTCTTTGTGTTTCTACCTCTTCCTTTCCCATCAGTCCTCTCAATAATTTTCTCAGATGACCTGCTTCTTTTTCTCATCATACTTCGGCCTTGTATTCTCTTTAACCTGCTTTGTATTTTTTTTCCCCACACTGTCTGGATAGTTTTATTTTAAAAACTTGATTTCTAAGAGATGGTACTAAAGAGAGGATATATGATAAAGAAGGGAAAGGGATATATTTTTAAAGGTTTCTAAGTGCTCATGCTGGAGTTCTCCCTCTGTGCTTAAACACAGCAACCTGAATTTATGGCAGGCTTACAGTTTCATACCGAAAAAGCATAAAGACCTATAGAAAACCCCTCCAACGCCTCCTTAAAAAATCTACACGTGTTGACGTAGTTGAATGATGTTAGCAGCCAAATCATGCATTGAGAGAGAAATTAACATTTAACTAATATAAACATCCAGGAGGTCTGTACTCCTGCGAACTTTCTTTATATTGGAATCCTTGTCTGGCTAAACTTCTTATACTAAGTCGGTGTAAGAAAATATAACATGGGATAAAATAACTTCTCTTGAATGACTTTTCCCCAGGATACTATGAAGAATTATTAAAGATTTAAAAGTTAAATTTGCTTTTGGCTGTATACAGATTAATTGAATTCAACAATAAAATGTCCTAGTTATATTTTTGTATATGTTCATGCCCTGTTTAAGCTAGAAAAATGTGTAGCTTTTCAAAACAGCTGCCTAAATCATATAAAATTGCTTTGACTAATTTTAAAAAGCCATTCCAGGCTGGGGCACTAGCTCAGGCGTATAATCCCAGCATTTTGGGAGGCCAAGGCAGGAGGATTGCTTGAGTCTAGGAGTTTGAGACCAGTCTGTGCAACATGGCAAGACCTTGTTTCTACGCAAAATTAAACACTAGTATTTTTTAAAAACCCATTTTATGTCTGCAATTGATGACATATTGTCTAGTCGATATTCCCTTTTAGTATGAACATGTAAAAGCAGATGCTGAATCTCAGCCGTCATAGCCTCTGTCAAAGCTAAAATGCATATAGTAAAACTACAAAATTTGTCATTCAGAATTTTATCAATATTTATTTTGTGCATCGTCACTAAAAACTTATAGGGAAGGAGTCCATCAAGACATATACAACTTCTGTCAAAGAACTCATTAGCTTAGTTGGAGAGATTGGACATACATGCCTGAAAGAATCATTAAAAATACAACATACAACCTGATAAGTGGAAAAATGTCAAATGAAAATTGCAAACAAAAATTCCTATAGAGATTCACACAAGGGAAGCAGTCACTGATATGGATCGATGGGAGAGTCCAGAAGAGGTGTAAGGCTGAGCTTGGAATAGTTTGTAGGAATCAGGGAAGCAGGAACTCAGAGCAGGGCATTTACAGGTGCATGACTGTGGGATGGAGAATATGATCAGAGACAAAAACAAAATCATTCCCATCCTGCTTGAGGAGAGGGAGAAAGGATATAGCAGTGTATCTAGACAGGAGAGTTTTCAAGAGAAAAAGAAAAAAAAAACTCACCTGACTTCTCCAATAAGGATGAAAATAAGCTTTTCAACCAGTGAACTAGCTGCAGAGACATTAGGGTTCTCATTTGGTTCTGTTTTACACAGAAAAAGAAACAGATATTTGCTTAACTAAAGCAATCTTAATGACTTTCAACAAATATTACAGAAACTCGTATGTATGTTTGGAGTTTCTAAGCTAAAGAAGTATTTAACAAAAAATAAAAATAAAATAAAGCAGATACCCCTGTAGTTTATCAGTGGCAATTTTCTTTAAGGAAATACACTCACATTGAGTATGTTTCTTTGACTATGCACAAATACACACACATCCAGGTTAAGTATAAATAAAGACTCTACTGCTGGTATTTTACTTGTTATTTTAAAATACAAGATTGAGATTCGTGAGTAGAACTTGACATTTAAAAATCAAGAAGCAAAATTTAATCAGTAAGAGAGTTGAAAAATATTTTTTGTGCACCTTCATTAAAGATTAGGCCTAAGACTGCCCTCACAAAGCATAAAGAAGAGTATTTCCTAGACCTGATGCACTTTATTCTCATAAAGATCTTCTCAGATTGGATTATTTATTCTCCTAAGGGTATGTGGTTGTGTGCTGGTGCACAATGCCATGAGATAAATGCACCACGTCTTTCTGGAGTTACAATTTTATCTAATGATTTGGAAGTAGGGCAAGTTAAGTAATTTAATAGTAAGTAATTGAAGACATACTTTTTATATTAAAGCACATACAGAAAAATTATAGTGCATAATACAAAATGCTCCTGAAATTTCATGAGAAAAATATGAGGCATCCAATAAATTTCCCTCATGGTTGGTTGCGTAAGGAATTTCCCACACAGCAAGAGAAACAAAGAAGGCTGCTTAACAGAGTTTCAAGCTAGTTTACTCTCCTTACTTTGGGAGAAATTTTTACAGTAAAATTGCTCTACTAGATTATTTCTTCCATACTTACGTAGCCTGCTTTTTAGTTAATCTTACTATTGAAAGAGTTGAAAGATAATTGATCATGTAAGGTTGTTTTCCAGATTTTAAGGACAAGTTTAGTAACCCATTCTAATGTTATGCATGGCCTCTTGGGCTTCAGGCTGGTGACAATACCTCCAATCCCATCTCCATCTTGTTGAGTTGGTCCTGGGTCTCAAACAATGCTTCCTAGGGCTGCGGGTAATGCCAGACAATCAATTCAGTCTGCACCATTAACCTCCAGGGATTAGTAGCTCTCTGTGCAATTGAATGTTCCCAGATTAGTCCCTGTGGTGAGCCACCTGCCAGGACTCAGCACTTCACAGGCAAGCTAAGAAGCTAGTAAAAGATTTAAAGCTCAAACTTGAGCTGAGCAATCAGGATATTTTTCTCACACAATTTATAGCTACTGTGGCATGACCTAATTTCTTATTCCCTGTTTTATTTTCCTTAAATTTTGAGGATTGATTTACCTGATAGAATTTGTTTCACAAAAGTTAATGGAAGAAACGTCAACTTTCCTGTCATAAAAATAGAAAACATACTGCAATCCAACATAACCTTAAAGCTTTTATTAAATTCCCATATGTTAACACTTGATACTTATCAAAATAAGAGTTCTTAGAGTTATGCAGGCAAGAGCTACCATTCATTGTGGGATAGAAACACCCGGCCAGTAGCAGAAAAGCATGTGGGGAGAGCCACACTCTACATAGAGTGTACATAAAGTATACAAATCATAAAACCTAGGATTGACTCACTGTAGGTAGACATACTGATGTATAAAGTGGTATAGGGCCATCAATTTGCATCCTGAAAAGGGGATAAGTGTTTTGTTATCAAATGAGATAGAGCAGGAGGGAATAAATGGAACTATTCATGCCTCAACCAACTAACACAGGCAAAATATATGCTAAAACCGTTTTAAGACAATGGATATCTGGTAACTAAGGACAGTAAACCCAGAGAGATGAGAAGCACGTTAGATGTGCTCTGATTTCCCCGGTTTAATGCCTTAATTGTTTTGGGAAACCATCGTGCATGAAGAGTAACTTTGGGTAAAACCTGTCAACTCTCTGAGAAAACAAAGCTGAAAATGTGAGGAAAACAAAGTGGCTAGATTTTGCCAGAGAGAATATTGGTGAAAAGAGAGCTACACAGAGAAAAAAACTCCGGAGACCTTAATGGGTCCTCCTCAGATAGTCAACAGAGTACCAGTCAGTGCATGAGGTAATACCCCATGGATGGGTAAAATCATCCCAGACGATTACAGAGTGCAATCTTCAGTGTTCGCATACACCAAGAACAGTTTCTGTTTTCGTCGCCCAGACTGGAATAACATGATTTATGGCACATTGGGTACAGTGATTCAAAAGGGTCTTGCTTCAGTAATGGGAA